TCACACCCCACATAAAAAAAAAAACCCCAAGCGTTGCCACTCTGCTAATTCCATCTCACAATAGCAGCCAAATTATTTCTCTGCATGCTCAGGGTCTACCAAAAGGGATAGTGAAGTAATTTTGGTCAGGGAAAATGAGCGCATTAGAGTATAATGCCTTGCTCGGGTATTAAATGCTATTGGTATCAACAATACAAAAACATGTTGAGAATATGTTTATGAGAATGACAGAAATGCATACAGAAAAAGAAGGGACCAACATGGAAGCGACATAAATGAGTAAAACTGGTCCAAGTAGGCTGAAGCTGGTGTGGTATAACTCCAGGTATGTGGACAGAAGCTCCGGTGCTTAACGGAATGCACACCCCTCATCCAGTGATCCCAGCTGGGGGATGAAAAGATAGCATGTAGCCGTGTACACTTTGCATCATATCCATACATCCATCCATTTTCTTCCGCTTACCCAGGTCCGAGCCAGGGGGACAGCAGCCTAAGCAGAGAAGCCCAGACCTCCCTCTGCCTGGCCACCTCCTCAACCTTGTCCGGGGGAATACCAGGCCAGCTGAGAGATTTAATTTGTCCTGGGTGTGCCCCGGGGCCTTCTCTCGGTGAGACATGCCCAGAACACCTCACACAGGAGGTCACTCAGGGATGGCCGAACTCTTCACTCCATCTCTAAGGGTGAAGCCAGCCACCCTTCGGAGAAATCTGATTTCCGCCGCTTGTATTCGCAATTTTGTTCTTTCGCACACTACCCAAAGCTTGTGACCACAGGTAAGGGTAGGGATGTAGATCAACCAGTAAATCGAGAACTGTGCTTTTACACTCAGCTCTCTCTTGACGGCAATGGATTGGTACAGTATTCACCTCACTGTGGCAACAGCAATCCATTTGTCGATCTCTGGAGTGGGCACTCCATCGTTTTCTGGCTGAGGACCATGGCCTCAGACTTGGAGGTGCTGAGCCAAGCCTTTCACCCATTGGCTATGCCTAGAAATTCTGTTCTGTCTAGAAATTAGTCCGACTTATTGCTGGCTATGCGGACCAAGCTCTTGCAGCGGTTATATAATCAGCAATGGGTAGCAATGGGTGTCTGGCCCATTGCTACAAGGCTGATGAGTCTGATTCCCCTATAAGTTGGAGCACACCCTCTGGTCTCACTTCTTAAAGATGGGAACCACCCCGGTTTGCTAATCCGGAGGTACCTCCCCTGATCTCCATGCAACACTGTAGAGGCATGTCAACCGAGACAACCCTACAACCCCAGAGCCTTCAAGAACTCAGGGTGAAACTCATCATTTTTGAAATATATATTTATGGAAATATAACTTGTATGTAATATATAATATATATGTCTTGTACAGTGTTGGGACTAACGCGTTATTAAGTAACGCGTTACAGTAACTACGTTATTATTGTGGTAACGAGCACGGTAACTA